CAGTTTGTACAAATACATGATGTAAGATCTGAACTATGTGGAATAACGTGGAGTTCCTCAGGGTTCTGTACTTGGAACAAAATTATTTATCTTATGTAAATGACTTGATTAATGTGTCAGGACTCTTTAAATGTGTTTTGTTTGATGATGATACATTTTTTGTTTGGGTAAAAACAATATTATTACACTATTATCATTATATTAATTTTAAAATGTGGCCCTGTGATGGACTTGCGACCTGTCCAGGGTGTACCCTGCCCCTCGCACTGTGACTGCTGGATATGGGCACCAGTGACCCACGCGACCCTGAAAAGGAAGAAGCGTGTACAGAAAATGGATGGATGGATGGATAATTTTAAAATGGTCACCTGACAATATTATCGTTTATCGCAATAATTTCTGAGACAAATAATTGTCCAGCAAAATTTGTTATGGTGACAGGCCTACTCACTTCTGTTCTTCATCCAGCTGTTCCTCCTCTAGCTGTTCCTCCTTCGGCTGTTTCTCCTTCGGCTGTTTCTCCTCCGGCTGTTTCTCCTCCGGCTGTTCCTCCTCCGGCTGTTCCTCCTCCGGCTGTTCCTCCTCCGGCTGTTCCACCCCCGGTTTTTCCTCCTGAGCAGCATCAGCTCCCGACTCGTCTTCAGGCTCAGCTGCAGGTCTGGTCTCGGCACCTGTGGCTGAATTAAAAGTTGAGATTTATGTAGAAAAAAGCTGGTTCTGGTCCTGTTGGTTCCATAGGATCTGGATCAGTACCTGATCAGGTTTTGTTTTCTTACCTGGTTCCTCTGGTTTCTCTGGTCCTTCTGGTTTCTCTGGTCCTTCTGGTTTCTCTGGTCCTTCTGGTTTCTCTGATCCTTCTGGTTTCTCTGATCCTTCTGGTCTCTCTGGTCCTTCTGGTTCCTCTGTCTTCCTGTCCGTCTGGTTCTGCCCAGCAGAGCTGTTGTTGGATGTGTCCTCTGATGTGGACTTAGTCTCTTTGCTGGATTTGTCTCTATTTTCTCTGGACCTGGTTCTGGTTCGTCCATCTCTTTTAGACCGGTCTCTGGACCTGCTCCTTCGCCCTCTGCCTCTTTCTCTGGATCTAGAACGGATTCTGGACCGTCCTGTCAATCTTGACCTGGACCTGGACCTAGTTCTCCTCTCGGTGCCAGGCTCCTTCGCGCCGCTCGTCTCGGTCTGTGTTGGTTCTTCATCACACCTGGTGGCCAGTGAGACCCGCCTGCAGGACAGACCAGACCAGGACTTGTTAAAGAAACGGATCAGAAACCTGGTTCAGTTCTTGCTGGACTGGTTCTGACTCACATGAGGGACTTGTACTCTGTGGAGAAGGACACGCTGATGGAGTCTCCGTTCATCTTCAGGATGTTGGAGGAGTAATAATCCACCAGCTTCTTGGCGTCGGCAGCAACTTTCATCTCAACGAACGCCTGAAACAGGAAGTTTGGATCGGATCAGAGACGTAAACCCTGACGCTGCGCGCTCCGTTCTACTTCCTGTTTCCTGCTGGAAACGGGCCGACCCACCTTGGACGGCAGGAAGAGGCTGAAGAGCGGCTCGCCGAAGCGTTTGATGATGCTGAGCAGGTCTGAGCGCCCGTCCCTTCCTGACGGAGCCGGAGTGAAGCTCACCACCTGAGAGCTCTGAGACACAAACCATGCTTCAGACGAACGTCACAAATCCGATTTTTATTGGTCCAGTGAACGCACCACCTCCAGCTCTCAGGTGWCCTACCTGCAGGAAGCTGAAGGTGTTGGAGACGCTGAAGTCCAGCTGCCGTTTGTTCTCAGATGGATCCATGTTAGCGTAATACTTCACCAAGTCCTTCGCCTGGTCAGCAGTACCCAGCTCCACGAAGGCCTGAGGAGGGTAAACACACACACACACGGTCACTGTGTGTGTGTGTCTGTGTGTGTGTGCAGCAGCAGGTGGACTCACCACAGAAGGAAACATGAGGATCTTTCCCATCTTCCCAAACGGCTCGATGCACGACTGCAGATACGCCTCGTCCACAGACTGAGCTGGAAACTTCACACACACCACCCTCCCTCTGTCTGTGGGCTGTCAGGAAACACACACACACACACACACACACACACACA